GGGCAGGCTCGGGCGCGGGGGGTTCGGGGGTGGCCCCCTTGTACAAGTGCAGCTGGAGGCAGTGCTCTACCCACAGCCTGGGTGGGGGCTGGGGGTCTCCCCTGGTGTCAAGGGTAGCCCTCGTGGCCTCTAGGACCCCAGGCATCCTCAATAGAGCACCGGGTCAATGAACTCAGCCTGGGAGACGTCCGGCTTCTGCATCTGTGCCCAGCTGAGGGTAGCCTTGCTGGGGCCCAGGAGCCTGTCGGGGACACACGGTGTGTGTCAGGGACCTGATAAATGTGTGTGCTGGGCACAAGTGCCAGCCAGGAGAGAGGGGTGCTCTGGGGCTCAGCCTTCTCATCTGTAAAATGGGGCTAACAGGAGCTGTGCTTCCTGGGGCCACCTGGAGGATAGCTGGAAGAGGGGAGTTTGTATAAAGTGCCTGAAACCGTGGCTTTAGTACCTAGTGAGTGCTGGGCAAACCCAGCTGGTGAGGCTGTTTAGGTGACTGGGGTTCTGGTACTGCACAGGGTGGAAAGTGGGGGTGTCGGGCTGGGGAAAATGGCAGGTGCTGGGGAGGAGGCAGGGATGGGTTGGAACCAAGTTGTCTGCCCAGAGGACCTAGCTCTGGGGACTTGCCAGTCCCTGTTCCCCTTTGGGATATTCTGCCTCGACCCTGCCTCAGCTGCTGTGGCTTCCACCGGGGCCTGCCTTCTCCCTCACAGCCTGGGCGGACCAGGGCTTGCGCCTGGCCTAGGGTCTCCAGCCTGTTGGGGACTGCACTTCAGGGGTAGGCTGGTGTGGGAAGGGGACGTGGGGTTCTGGGACGGGCACACCCCTTTACCTGGGCACCATGGTCAGGCATATCTGTCAGGCCGTTCTCCCACGTCCCATCCAAGAGGCACTAACACCTCATCTGTTGCGCCTTTATGTGGCACTGATTGTATGCACTATTATCCCATTTTACCAGTGAGGAAGCGGACTCCGAAAAGCAAGAGGTGGCTGGTGTTAGGTCACAGAGCTAGGAGGCTGTGGTGGGGGGAGGGGGGGCACCGCCTGCACAGGGGGTGGGAGGTGGTGCTTTCTGGGTGTTCTCACCACAGCCTGGGTGCCCGGCGGCAGGGTGGGGGAAGACGCTGACGGGCACTGCACAGGCTCTCAGGGGTCCCACACTGGTGGCCGAGGCCTTGACTGTGGGGGCCTCTGCCTGCTCATGAGCTCCCTTTGCTCCCTCCAGGTGGGGCAGTCTTGGGGTGGTGGGGGCATGGTGGCACCGGGCCGTGCCCTCAGGTCCTGCCCCTTGGCCCCCACAGGCAGGCTGCATGCTGTTCCCTCACATCTCCCCCTGTGAGGTGCGCTGTGCTCATGCTCCTGTACTCGTCCAAGAAGAAAATCTTCATGGGCCTCATCCCCTACGACCAGAGTGGCTTTGTCAGCGCCATCCGGCAGGTCATCACCACCCGCAAGCAGGTATGCCAACCCAGCACGGCACCTGTGGGGACAGCACAGAGTTAGGTCGGGCCACCCAGGTTGTGCAGCCAGACTTGCTGCGGGTGGAGTGTGATGCGAATGGCTGGAGCAAGGAGCTGCAGGGGAGCCCAGAGGAGGGGGCGGGTTCCCACCAGGGCTCCGCAGAAAAGTGACCACTGGTGGGGGGCTCTGAAGGGCCGGAGAGTGGGTCTTGGCGGCACGGGTTGGGTTATCATGAGGCTGGAAGGCCCTGGCCTGTGACGATTGTGTCCTGGTTGCGTCTTGCCCGTTGAGGCAGATGCTGCGGGCATCCAGCTGAGGGCCAGGACCTATCTCAGTGCATTGGGAGCCTTGCGGGGCTGTGTGCGGGGGAGGGGCAGGGCCTGTTCCTGGGAGCTTGCTGGGGCTGGCTTGGAGGGCGGGCGGGTCCCAGGACAGGCAGGTTTCCTGGGAGCCTGTGTCCCTCTTGCCAACCCCTTCCATTCCCGCAGGCAGTGGGACCTGGTGGCGTCAACGCAGGCCCAGTGCAGATCGTCAACAATAAGTTCCTGGCGTGGAGTGGCGTCATGGAGTGGCAGGAGGTGAGCCCTCAGCAGCCTGGGGGCCTGGGACCCCAAGATCTCATGGCCTGTGGCTGGGAGGGGACATCGGCATTGGGCGCCCAGCCCTGAGGGCCTCCTCTTTGCCTCTCCCCCAAAAGCCCAGGCCTGAGCCCAACAGCCGGTCCAAGAGGTGGCTGCCGTCCCATGTCTACGTGAACCAGGGAGAGATCCTGTGAGTGCCGGGCTGGGGGCGGAGGCGGCGTCCAGGGAAGCCGGGGCCTCCTGACCCTCGTCCCCTCACGCCCTGCAGGAGGACTGAGCAGTGGCCGAGAAAGCTGTGCATGCAGCTCATCCCGCAGCAGCTGCTGGTGAGGGCCTTCCCCAGGGCGGGGCGGGGGGAGGCCCGGGCTGGCTGAGTGGGGGCAGAGCTGCAGCAGGCCCGGCTCTGAGGGTCGCAGGTACTGAGCAGGGCCACGGCGGCCATAACCTGGAGGGCTGCCAAGAGATCTGAGAGCAGCTTCCCCAGGATTCCAGGGTCGGGCTAGTTGAGGAGCGGGAGTGAGGGGCAGAGATGACATTTCCTGAGCTAGGGGCAGACATGGGAGCCTCAGTTTGGTCCCGAGCCCGGGGGACCCAGCAAGCTTCGAGGGGGAGGCCACGGTGGCAGAAGCTAGAGCCGGGGTCCCCTCGCTTCTTCGCAGACCACACTGGTGCCACTATTCCGGAACTCGCGTCTGGTGCAGTTCCACTTCACCAAGGACATGGAGACGCTCAAGAGTCTGTGTCGGATCATGGACAATGGCTTCGTGAGTGGCACCAGCCGAGGCTGGCAGGGCCCGGCCCGGGCAGAGGGAGGCAGGACCGCTCATGGGCGTGGACGTGGGAGCTGAACGCCATGTCCAGGAAGGCTGGGGAGAGGGTGGGTGGCTCAGGGGGGCTCTGCGTTGTCCCCACCCCGCTGGACAGAGGGGCGCTGATCCCAGTTGTATGGGGCTGCCCCTCCTCTGCCCTGTCAGGGTTGCTCCCACTCCCCAGGGGCAGGCGCTCGTCGCTCCAGGTTTCCTGACGGAAAAACAGGCCCTGTCAGCTTGTGCCACATCCCAAAGGCCCCTTGCCAGGTGGTGAGGGCTGTCTGTCCCCCGCAAGGCCCCACAGGGTCTGGTGGTCATCATAGCAGAGTCTGCTTCTCTCTTGGGCTCAGTTTCTCCCATCTATGAGGTGGGAGGGTTGGAGTTTACCTGCTAACGTCCACCTTCTGTTTGGGCCATACCTGGTAACATCTGTCCGGAAACTACCTTACAATTACCTTCGGCTCAGTCGGACTGTCACAAAGCCATTTGTGCATTGGGGGGGTCTGGGTGTAGATGCTTTTATAGTAAAGAACTTTCAAGACTCCCCTCGGGCCCAGGGCACGGTAGCTCACGCTTATAATCCCAGCACTTTGGGAGGCAGAGGTGAGTGGATCACTTGAGGTCAGGAGTTTGAGACCAGCCTGATCACCATGGCAAAACCCCATCTCTGCTAAAAGTAAAAAAATTAGCTGGGCAGGGTGACAGGCACCTGTAATCCCAGCTACTCGGGAGGCTGAGGCAGGAGAATCACTTGAACCTGGCGGCAGAGGTTGCAGTGAGCCGAGATCCTGCCACACACTCCAGCCTGGGTGACAGAGTGAGACTCCACATATCCCAGCCCTTACCTGTGTTAGGCTGGCTGCCGCAAGTCCCTGGGGCTCCCGAGTTGGAGTCATGGCTGGTGGTTCAGGTGGTGTGGCTTGGGTGAGGTGGCCCCAGACAGCCTGGCCTGCCCAGGAGCTCTGAAATGCAGGTTCCCGGGCCTCTCCCTCTAGAGCCTCTTGGCCATGCTGTCCTCATAACGGGGCCCACCTCTGGGGTGAGGGGAGTGAGAGGACAGCAGTTAGGCCAGCACCTGGCCAATGGAGCCCACGGCATGGTGCCCACCTGGTGACGCCTGCCATGTGCCTGCCAGGCTGGCTGCGTGCACTTTTCCTACAAAGCGTCGTGTGAGATCCGCGTGCTCATGCTTCTGTACTCCTCGGAGAAGAAAATCTTCATCGGCCTCATCCCCCACGACCAGGGCAACTTCGTCAATGGCATCCGGCGTGTCATTGCCAACCAGCAGCAGGTCCTACAGCGGAACCTGGAGCAGGAGCAGCAGCAGCGAGGGGTGAGGCAGCGGCCCCTGGCCGGCGCGGCTCCTCCCCCTCTTCCCACGTGCTCACCCCCGTCTCATTCCTCCCCACAGATGGGGGGGTAGCGGCTACCCCGGGCTGGGCCCCTCCAGGAGTCACAGACGAGGCCCCTGCAGAGACTGGTGAGTGGTGACCCTGTCCACGAGGGACCCTTGGGCCTGTGGGGTGGCGGTGGGGAAGCAGCAGGGCAGGCAGAGGGGGAGGCGCAGTGTCCAGGCCCAGGCGGGGCCTCTGCCCACAGGGATGTGGGGTCAGTGCTTGGGCGCCTGTGGCCAGCAGCCCCCACTGTACCCCTGCCACTAGGTGACACGCTTCTGAGCAGGGGCCCCTGGGGACTTCAGCTGCCCAGCACCATGGAGGATGGCGTCCTGAGGGCTCAAGGACGGTCCCCACTCCTGTATGTTTCCCCAATAAAGCCTTTTAAAAACCTGCCTGCCCTCTGCCTGATGCCTGGCAGCCCAGGTGCTCACAGGGCAGGTGCCAGGCCCTGGGTTCAAGTCCAGTGCCACAGAACCTGAGGCCGGGGTTTTGTCCTTGGGGGTCATGCCAGGTTTTGAACTTAGTCCTGGGTTGGGCCCTATGACTTTACCACCTGTGTCTGGCGGGCCACACAGCCCCCTGCCCCTGGCCTGTGCACATCCCAGTCTGTAACGTACCCGTGCTGGGAATCTGTTCTGTGGGGCCCCAACTGTTGTTACCTGAAAATGTCCAGAGAGCCTCCATCCACGTGACAAACTGCCAGGCCTGGGTCCCTCCCCCTATGCGACCACCCTCCTCCCAGCAACAGGCCGGCCAAGTTCAAAGAGAAACAGCATTTATTATGGAGGGGAGCTGGGGGGTCAGCCCTCGGAGAACTGGCAGTACAGCCGCTCCAGCCTCGGCTCCAGGCTCAGGCGGAATGGGATCTCCAGGATGGCCGCGAAGCCTTCCGCCAGCGTCGGGGCCTCGAACTGCTTCCTGGCAGTGGTGAGGACAGTGAGGGACAGCCCAGCTTATGGGGCCAGCTGACACCCTGCACCCTGCGGGCCCCAACCCTACCTGTAGCCGTACATGACCACGTCTGACACAGGGGCGTGGGAGGAGTCTGTCATCTCGCGGAACTGGGGGGACAAGAGGGGACAGCAGGCCCAGGGGTCATGGGAGGGGGGGGTGGGGGTGCAGGCTGGGGTGTCTGGGCCAAGCGGGCTCACCCGGTTGTTGTGGCGCGCCTGCTCTAGAGTGGCAGTGAAGAGGAAGCAGCGGCAGGGGACGCCCGCAGCCCGGGCACACTGGACGTATCTGTGGGGGAGGAGCCAAATGTGCAGGCCCCCCACTCCAGGCCACCCCACATCCCGCCACAGCGCACCCCAGTTCCACTACCTGGCGCGGCTTGAGGCGTCCGGGTTTGTGTTGTCGATGGCAACCCGTTTCCCTTGCTTCAGGGCCATCTCACAGGCGGTCACACAGCGCTGCCAGGAACCCAGTGTGTCCTGGGGGCACGAGGGATCACAAACGGGGTTGAGGGGGGAGGCAATGCTGGAGGGAAGTGCCCCCAACAAGCTGAGAGGTGAAAGAACTGACATACCCTGTTCACGTGGACGTATCCGGCCGACACAAGGTGCTCCTTGAGGAAGGAGGACTTCCCGGCTGTGTGGGAAGCAGGGTTGGTGGGTGGCCTGGGACCCAGGCGGGGCTCAGCGCATCCCCAGGACGGGCCGGGCACTCACCCCCAGGGAATCCCACGGCGACAACCACCTCTGGGCTAGAGCTCAGGAGGGCCCTGGACTCCGGGAGGCACAGAGGCCCCGAGCGGGCAACAGTTCTCTGCGAGGGGTGGGACACGTGCGTGAGACCCCCTCCGTCCTGATCCCGGGAGCCCTCCCCCTCCCCCCCAGGGCCTCACCGGGTCAAAGGCGGGGAGCTCGAAGCCAGCCACTGGCCAGTTCAGGAAGAACTCCTCAGGCGTGGCGAAGGGCAGGCCGAGGTTGAGGGCAAACTGGGGGCGGGGACAGACGTCAGACACTGGCATCCAGGGTCGGGCTTGGGGCGGGGGCAAGGGGCCTCACCAGGCGGTCGGCGCAGGAGAAGTCTTTCTTCTTTCGTCCTGGGGCCCAATTAGCCGGGCGTCCGGCCGCGTCTGGAACACACAGGACACCCCGTCTCCACCAGGCAGCTCGGAGGGAGGGAGGGAGGGAGGGAGGGTCCCCGCCCGCCCTGAGCAGCCCCCAGGCCCTTACCTCCCACGAAGATGCTGTCGGCGATGGCGATGGGCGTGCCCTCGTTGGCCTACAGGAGACGGCAGTGAGGAGGCCCTGCCCACAGCTGTCCACCGCAGGACAGGGCTGCTCCGCCTGGTCCGTGCCCCGCATCAGGCCTCCTCTTCTGACCTTCCGTGTCCCCACCGTCCTACCACTTCCCACCCTGCTCGCGGCCCTCCTGGTCTCCACGAAGCCCCCTCCCTCCTGGCTTCCGTCCCCGCCCGTTCCCCACACGGCCGCCAGAGGGCGCCTGCCCAGCTTCAGATCCTGCCTCCCTCAGGGCAAAAGTAGTGCCCTCCCTGTGGCCCTGTCCTCTCCCGTCCCTTGCTCAGGGCCAGCTGCATGGGCCACTCTGTCCCTAACCAGCCCAGCCTAGGGGCTGCCTCAGGGCCTTTGCACTTGCTGTCACTCCCACAGGGACCACTTTCCCCAGGTGTCCATGTGGCTCCCTCCTTGCCCTGCCTTAAGCCTTTCCAAAGATGTCACCTCCTCAGAGGCCATCCCTGCCCATCAGGGCTGAAACGATGCCTGCTTTCTCCACCTCCTTCCCTCCCGCTGTTTCACACGCTAGTCTGCCCATCGGGTTCCCCTGGACGAGGCTGTCCTGGTCACTGGTATTTTCAGTTCTAGAATGTGCTAAACTTTACAACAAACGAAGAAAGATGAACAGCTTCTCTCTCCACTACTCTGATTTAGAACATTTAGGCGCACTGGCCTCAAACCAACACCTAGAATGTGACAGCAAAAAACAGAAGGCGGGACCGAGAGAGGACAGAAGGAGGGAGGAGGCTGGAACCAGAGACCTGGAAGTGAGGGGCTGGTGCGGGGGAGAGGAGGGAGGCTGGGCAGGCTGAGAGGCTCACCTGTTCCTGCAGATGGTCCCACATGCCCGTCACTGGCTTCCGGTACAAGCCTGTGTGCGTGGCCACCAGCACCTGTGGATGGGAGGGGCCCCCAGCCTCAGCTCCCACTCAGGCACCTACAGGATGCTAATGCAGCCCTCATCCACACAAGCAGAGCTAAAGCATTTGTAGTTGATGATGGGTTCCTATCAGCGTCACCCCTGAGGCCTCCACCCCACCCACTCCGGGGTCTGACACCCTCTCTCTGCATCTCTTGTCCTCCCACATCGCCCCTCAGTCTCCCTTCCAGCCATACCTGGAAAGGAACCCCCAGCTTCTCCACCACAGCCTCCACCTTGGCCTTGAACTCCTCGGCTGGCAGCTTCCGACGCCCGATGCTCATCTGGTTGGTGAAGATCACTAGCTGGGGAGCAGAGGGTCTCACCAGGTGCCCTGCTCACCAGGGCCCTGGGCGCGTGCCCATGGAGGCACCGCCTGCGTGTACCTTGTAGCCTTTAGCTTCCAGCTCCCGGAGCTTACGAGGAATCTCTGGGTACAAGATCCTAGGGCAGGTAGGAAGCGGTGGGGTTGACCCGGGGCCAGAGGTGGACTCCAGGCCTCACTCACTCCCTTCTTTTGCCTCTTATCACCTCCAGTCACTGGGGCCAGTGGGGAAGACCTTCCCAGAGCGTGTGGTGATCAGGGTCCCATCCAGATCAAAGCCAGCCACCTGGTGTCACCAAGGAAAGAGGAATAGCAGCACTGTGACACCTCTGACCCTCCCCACCCCACTCACAGGCTGACTCACACCAACCCTGCCAGGCAGGGTGTTACCACTGCCATCTCACAAATGGGGAAACTGAGTCACAGAGCACCTCCATGTCAGGTATCCATGATGCCGCGGAGTGCAGCCAGATATTGTAATCTCACTGTCTCCTGTTACTTCCTATGCCCCCGACCCCAGGATTGCAGTCTTTAAAATGTGGGTTGGCCAGGTGCGGTGGCTCAAGCCTGTAATCCCAGCACTTTGGGAGGCCGAGGCGGGTGGATCACGAGGTCAAGAGATCGAGACCACCCTGGTCAACATGGTGAAACCCCGTCTCTACTAAAAATACCAAAAAAAACTAGCTGGGCATGGTGGCGCGTGCCTGTAATCCCAGCTACTCAGGAGGCTGAGGCAGGAGAATTGCCTGAACCCAGGAGGCGGAGGTTGCGGTGAGCTGAGATCGTGCCATTGCACTCGAGTCTGGGTAACAAGAGTGAAACACCGTCTCAAAAAAAAAAAAAAAAAAAATGTGGGTTAAGGTCTTACCCAGCCGCCTCTTTCCCCTGGACGCCTCCACCCCGGAGGCCTAATAACAGTGAAAATAGGCTGAGTGCAGTGGCTCACGCCTGTAATCCCAGCACTTTGGGAGGCTGAGGCTGGTGGATCACGAGGTCAGGAGATCAGGACCATCCTGGCTAACACGGTGAAAACCTGTCTCTACTAAAAATATAAAAAAATTAGCCGGGCACGGTGGTGGCATGCCGCCTGTTCCACCTACCTAGGAGGCTCAGGCAGGAGAACTGCTTGAACCCCAGAGGCAAAGGCTGCAGTGTGCCCAGATGACATTACTGCACTCCAGCCTGGGCAACCAAGCAAGACTCCGTGTCAAAAAAAAAAAAAAAAAAGGGGGGGATCCCCCCCAATCTTCTCCTCCTGTCCTCCAGCTCGCAGGGCCCCCCTCGCCTTCCAAAAAAAAAATTATAATAATGGAAATAAAAATAGGAGCAAAGCTTTGGGTGCTAACTGCCTGTCAAGGACGATGCCACGTGCTTTTTATCGAATCAGCATCACAGAGATGGGAGACATGGGACTCCGAATGTGGCAGTAACAGCATTTGACCTCAAGTCTCTCGACCTAAAAAATACTCATAATTGCTCCTATTCAGACGGTCATGGTCATTGCTGATTCCTGGGTGGTCACCGTGGGTCATGCAGGAGCTGACATACATTCTTTTCCCCACTGCTTCCAATGACCCCGGTGTTTGTCATTAGGCCCATTTCTGAGAAGAGTAAGTAAAGGCTAAAAGGAAGTTGAGATACAGCACACAACCAACCTAGGACTGAATCCCAGTCTGTGGCAGCTCCCTCAGGCCCCGGCGTGCCCCTCACCTTGCTCTGGGGTTTCACCCCCACTGCGGTGAACACTAGCAACTTCTCCAAGTTCTCCCAGCCGGGGGATGACTTCCGAATCCGCTTCTTCAGTGGCTCAGGATCCCTCTTTTCCTCTTGGGACACCGGAGGGGTGCCAGGTGGAGTATCTGGCCGGGCTTCTGGTGTGCGGGTCTCTTCCCAGCGCAGGGTCAGTGGGTGGAGGCCATTGACCAAATACAGTGTGTCCCCCACCCCCAGAGAGCCCTCCAACCCCGGCTTCAACTCCTGGGTCCCGGCAGTTGAGGGGTTAACACCCAGCTGCAGAGGGAGAGGGAGGAGCTGAGACTGGCTCCCCCCACCGGGAGCCTCCTCCAATCAAATACCCAGCAGAAAGACCTGCCTTTCCCCACCACTAATGAGACCCTTAAGCCCCACCTCTTCCCGCCGTAGCACCAATCAGGGCTTTGGAAAGGTTACAGGTTTCCAGCCCGGCCCAATTTCTTTTTTTCTTTTTTCTTTTTCTTTTTTTTTTTTGGGAGACAAGTGTCTTGTTTTGTCGCCCAGGTTGGAGTGCAGTGGTGCAATCTCGGCTCACTGCAACCTCTGCCTCCCAGTTTGAAAAGATTCACCTGCGTCAGCCACCCGAGTAGCTGGGATTACAGGCACCTGCCACCACGCCCGGCTAATTTTTGTATTTTTAGTAGAGACACGGGGTTTCGCCATGTTGGCCAGGCTGGTCACGAACTCCTGAGCTCAGGTGATCGCGCCCGCCTGAGCCTCCCCAAGTGCTGGGATTACAGGCGTGAGTTAACGCGCCTGGCCGCCTTGTCCAATTTCGAACGGATTTGACGGGTATCCACCCCGTTAAAACGAGCAACACTTCTTTCTTTACTGGACACGCCCCCTTCTCTCCGAGCCGTTTTTCTTTTCCTTTTTGAGACAGGTTCTCGCTCTGTCACCTAGGCTGGAGTACAGCGTGGTGATCACCGCTGACTGCAGCCTTGACCTACTGGGCTCAAAGGATCCTACCGCGTCAGCCACCCGATTAGCCGAGACAAGGACGCGCCATCATCCCTGGCTAATTTATTTATTTATTTATTTATTTTTTTTTAGACGGAGTTTCGCTCTTGTTACCCAGGCTGGAGTGCAATGGCGCGATCTCGGCTCACCGCAACCTCCGCCTCCTGAGTTCAGGCAATTCTCCTGCCTCAGCCTCCTGAGTAGCTGGGATTACAGGCACACGCCACCCATGCCCAGCTAATTTTTTGTATTTTTAGTAGAGACGGGGTTTCACCATGTTGACCAAGGATGGTCTCGTTCTCTTGACCTCGTGATCCACCCGCCTCAGCCTCCCAAAGTGCTGGGATTACAGGCTTGAGCCACCGCGCCCGGCTCCCTGGCTAATTTTTTTTAGAGAGCGGTTTCACCCGGGTTCAAGCGATCCGCCCACCTGGGCCTCCCAAACTGCTGAAATTACAGGCGTGAGCCAACACACCAGGTCCCAATCAAGATTTTCCTAATGTAACCTTTCACTGATGGCTTGCAATTCCTCCCCAAATCCCATCCCCAAGCGTTACTGCCCCTTGCAGAGGCACTGATACCTGTTTCACTGCCACTGTCCGGGTCTCAGGATCTGCGACCAGCTCCACTGAGGATTGAAGGGGTGAAGTCAGGATTTGTATCCTTGTATGATTGGTTCCCTCATTTCTAGGGAGTGCGGCATGCCTCAGGCTACAGCGTCCGTCCATTCGGGAGGGAGTAGGAGGCAGTTTATTTCTACCTGGGACTGGCTGCTTGACATGCCGTAGCCAGACAGTGGCACTGGGATTGCCTGACACTGGTCCTTGCAAAGGACAGAGAGGTACTTTTCTCTGTACAACTGGTTTCCTCCTTGACAAAAAATGTAGCTAGATGCAAGTCTGGGGCTTGGCCTGTTACCGTCCATCCCAACCTAGCGACATTTACTTTTCCCCACGGGACCATTTATCTATTTTGACAAGAGTCGTCGTCTGTTTCCAGATTTCCCTATGACCTGAGTATCATCCGCGCAGTAAACATCCTCCCGAAACTGGCTCCATCCCCTCTCCCCGCAAGGATCTCGCTAATTCTAAATCAAGCACAAACGTTCTCTTCCCGTACTCCCTAGAAGAGCGCCTTCCGACTTTGGGGCCGGCTGCACCACGCAATCCCGCGTAGCGGCCAAGCAAGTCCCTCTAAATTGTTCCCGCTTCTGCAGCAGGCCACACCCCCTCGTGCTCAGGCCCCGCTCACCTTGAGTTCTGGAGCACTTCCGGTCCGTGACCTGGGTCAGGGGTCCCCTGCCCAGGACCAGGGCTTGCCCGTCTGAGGGCAGGAAAATTGGAGGCGCTCCCCCTGGGGGGCTCTCGAGCCACAGACGGCCCGGGGCCTCCACCTCGCCCATCCTGGGCGCGGGCCCTAGGAAGCAGGTAAACCGGCCTGAGCGGCGCACTTCCCGAATTTGCTCCAGGAAGTCCCGCCTTCTCCCACCTCCGCTAACAACTTTCCACCGCGCTAACTGCTCCGGAAGTCCCGCCCCCTCGCCCGCCGCGGGTCGCGTCGTTTCCCAGGCGACGATGCGAGCTTCATCTCTCCGCGAGCTGGGATCCTCACTTCCCAGGATACAGGCCGAGAGCCTCGCATGTGCCTCCGTCCCTCCGCGCACTCACCCTGGCCAGCTGCTCGGGCTTACGGCCGCTTCTGACTAGGGAGGTCCTGCCCGAGGCGCCCCGCCTGCAACTCTGCCGGCGGCTCTCAGTTCCTCGGCGGAAAGAAGTGATTTCCCCGGAGGGGGCGGGGCCTGCGTTCCTCCCACAGTAGCCACGCCCCTTCCGTCGACCCTTGGCCCCGACGGTTCCTCGGCAGTGCTGACCTTCATCTCTCTTACTGCAACGCGAGGCTTAGGCCGGTAGCGGGGACTGGATCCTCCGTTCGCAGATTTGTCTCTTTCCACTTTGACTTCTTTTTTTTTTTTTTTTTTGCTTTTTCTTTTTGAGACAGAGTTTTCACCCTTGGTGCCCAGGCTGGAGTGCCATGGCGCTATCTCGGCTCACCGCAGCCTCCGCCTTCCGGGTTCAGGCGATTCTTCCCGCCTCGGCGTCCCAGATAGCTGGGATTACAGGCATGCGCCACCACGTCCGGCTAAGTTTCTATTTTAAGTGCAGACGCGGTTTCTCCATGTTGGTCAGGCTGTTCTCGAACTTCCAACCTCAGGTGATCCGCCCGCCTCAGCCACGCAAAGTTCTGGAATTGCAGGCGCGAGCCACCGCGCCCGGCCATAACTTCTCATTTCCATCTCCGTGGCTGGGGGTAGTTACCACGGGAGTGAGGTTTTTTCCCCACCTGATGGTCATGTCAGTCAAGGAAACCTCCTCCCTCGACAGCGTCCCTAAATCCTTCTTTGGCTTTACCTTGTGTTCTAGTTTCTTCATCTATAAAGGCGATCATCGTTTCCATTTCGTGGGATTACTGTGACGATTAAAGGAGTCAACATGACAAGCACTTTTTAAAATGTCTGGGTGGTATTAAGACCTGTTCCAGTCTTGCTTAGTGTTAGCATTCTTCCAGTGGTGGTCTGGTGGGAGATGACATTTACCTGTCCTGATTTCGGACGTGGTTCCACCTGTTCTGTAACCTCCAGCCATTTTTTCTTTGAGAAGGGGTCTCACTGTGTTGCCCATGCTGATCGCGGCGGCCTCCGAGCGTGGGCTTATAGGCGTGAGGCACCAAGCCCAGCTGCTCCAGTCTTCTTTTAACAAGACTGCCGGCTGGAGTTCCTGGCTTTACTAGTGAATATGTGGGCTCTCGCTCCAACACACCCTCTCAAGATGGGGGTTCCATGGTCACACAAGACTGGAATGGTCTCCATCCCCCTTTCGTATCTATAAATTGGGCACAGAGCCAGGTGCGGTGGGTCACATCTGTAATCCCAGCACTTTGGGAAGCAGACGGGGGGTGAGGGGTGGTGGTGGATCATTTGAGGTCAGTAGTTCGAGACCAGCCTGGCTGACATGGTGAAACCCTGTTTATACTAACAATGCAAAAATTAGCCGGGCGGTAGTGGCGCGCCCCTGCATTCCCAGCTACTGGGGAGGTTGAGGCAGGAGAATTGCTTGAACTTGAGCGACAGTGGGACCCTGTCTCAAAATTTAAAAATAAAATAGGCACAGCAGTTCCAGCCCCCAGCTGTTACACTGATAATCAGACGCCGTAATTCGGTTTTAGAAAATGTTCAATGCAAAACACATTTATCTGTCAGAGGTAAAACTCTTTAATCTCAGAGCGCCCTTCCCAACTGCCGGTCCCCCAACCCCTCACTCTCTCCCCAACACCAGGGCCGGAGAGTGAGGCCCCCTGCCCCCCGCCTTGGGTGGACGAGGGCCCTTTAAGGCACCTGTGGAGGTGGGGAGCGAGGGTCGGGAGCTGGTACCATCCTGGATGCAGGGACGGGCTTCGATTGGCAGGCTGTTGTGGCGATGGATGGAACCAATGAAAGGGGGTGTCAGACGCAGGGACAGTTTGGGGCCATCCCTGAGGGGGTCAGGGGACAAGCTGTCAGGACTTGGGCAAAAACCACCCTAGCCCCAGTAGTGTGAAGAACGTAAATCGAAGGCCCCAGGCCAATTTGGGGAACAGGAGGGCTTGGCCACGCCCCTAGGGAGCTGGAGCTAATCAGGAGGGAGAACTCAAGCCCTTTACAAGATCCGAGCCAACGAAAAAAAAAAAAGAGCTGCTCAGCGACTAGGGGATGGAGCCAATGCCGTGCGAGCAAAGGCCTTGTCGCTAGGCAGAAAACAACGGAGTTGACCCGTTTAGGGATTAGAACGGAGCGAGCCAATCCCTTAATAGAAGGAATCTGTCGCTGGGCAGAGAGAGGCGACAGATGCAATCGAGAAAAGGGACATATCCCGCTCCTCGGCGCTGGAAGTCGCAGGCCGGAAGGGCAGCGGGGATTGGCAGAGACGGGTCAATCCTGGGGGTGGGGGGGCTCCCAGATCGGCCTCGGCTTGGCGGGCCCCGGGCATGGGGCGGGGAAGTGTGGGGCGGGGCGGACGCGGCCCGGGACGTTCCTGCCCCGGGCCTCAGTATTTCCGCTTCAGCTTCTGGAAGTCGCTGGTGTTAAGCCGCGGCCGTGGCAGGTCCCCGAAGACCTGGGTGTCCTCGGCCTCCCGCAACACCAGCGCGCGCATGCTCGCCGCGATACGGTCCAGGTCGGGCGAGGAGGGCTGCGGGAACGGCAACGGGGCGAGGTCAGCGCCGGTATGGCCACCCCTGCACCCACACGCAGCCCGGGCGTGCGCCCTGGCCCCAAGCCCACTCCTTGCACGTCCCCACCCTGCCGCTTGTGCCTAGCGATGCCCACTGCCAGCAGTGCTCTTCCCCGTCTTGCTCCGCGTAGGAACACTTCTTACCTGGTTCAGACACCACCTCCACGAAGCCTTCCTGCCCCTCTCCCCCTCCCCTTCTTGGCCTGGGACATTGCCTCCTACACATTGGAAACGCTGTTGTCTGCTAGCCTTTAAGGTTGTGTGCACTGTCTCATGTCTGAGGATCTGGGCTGGGGTTTCAGTCATGTTCCAATCAGACCTCTGCCGCCAACTAGCTGTGAGCAAGAGGTTTTGCTTCCCTAGGCCTCAGTCTCCCCTTCTGAGAAATGGGGTGGGCAACAGGATCTCTCTGTGAGGGCCGAGATAATCAGCTGTTATTGCTGTATCATGTGGCCACTGCTGTGCAGAAAGGATCCCTCCCTGTGTCAGCCCCACCAAGGAGCGGTCCTGCCATTCTGCCTGCAGCTCCAGCACCTAGTCCTGCCTCCACTACAGCCCTGACACCCTGAGCTGGGCCTGTCCCCTTGCCAGATGGGACCCAGAGACCCAGATCAGGAGCTGGACCTGACCAGGGGGAGGCCAGAGCATTCAGTGAACTGTTGCCATGAGTCCCAAACACAGAGAGCAGCAGCAGGTAGACCCTGTCTGCACCGGGCCTGGTTCCTGGTCTTCAGCGCCCACTGCCTTGTGGAGGAAGGAGGGAGGGAGGACGTGACCACTGTGACTGCTGGTTTACACATGAGGACACTGAGTCTGAGAGCAGGGACTGTGGGACCCAGACCTCCTCCCTCAAAGCCCACAGCTTCTTCCTGAAAGGCAGCTGGATTCCAGTCCCAGCTCTGCCCCTCAGGGAAGTAAGTCACATGTCCTCTCACTGCCTCAGTGAGGGGTGAGGAGGACCCACCCCCGGCTAGCCCAGCCCAGGAGCTTCAAACAGGGATGAACGGGACCAGGGGGTGGGACAAATTCTGCAAAGGGCCAGGAATGTGCAGGGTAGGGATGGTAGGTGATCTGAACTCTCCAAGCCTCAGTTTCCCCATCTGGAGGGGATGCCAAAGTACCGGTGCCTTGCCCAGAGCAAGTGTGCTATAAATGGAGACGCTCCTGGAAAGGAGAGGGCTTCTCTGTAAGGCACTAGGACACACGGTAAGGCTGCAGTCGTTAAAACCGCAAGCCTTGGGCCCAAGAACTTGCTTCTTGAGTTTGAGGGGAGGATTCAGTGAGCTTATGGGTGGAAAGCAGCATCCATGCCAGAGGGCTTCCTGGAGGAAGCGGCTCAGGGCTCTTCCAGCTGCCCTCCCTACCTCCCGCCACCTGCCCCTCACCGGCCCATTCTCCTCGTCGGATGACCGTGCCTCTGTCGTCTTCTCCCTGAAGGCCCAGACGGGCACGGACACAGGCAGGGACTTGGCGTACTGCTGTGCGGGCAGGGCTGAGGCCGGGGGGACTGAGCAGGTGGGGGGGCCCGCGGGGGTCTCCTCGCTCAGGCTGCCATCTGAAAGCGAGGGGAAGTTTCAGCTTCTGTCCGTGTCTTTGTGCCAGCCGCCCACCTCCAGGTAGGGAGGGGACCAGCCTGGGACACTGACCGTCTGTGCTCTCGGGGTCCGACTCACAGAAGGGGGGAAGGTCCTGGAGGGTGGCGTCCTCATCCATCACGAAGAGCCCTGTGGATGGTGTGAGTGAGAGGCCCGGGCCAGTGGGCGCCTGGCCACGCTCCGCGTGCACTCCTCCCCAGCCACGGCCCCGGCCCCGGTCCCCGCCTCCCTGCTGAGACCCACTTCCTTCACCTCGAAAACCCTTCCCCTAGCCACCTGCCTGGTCATCGGCAGAAACACACCCTCTATGCATCTGTCACCTTCTCGGCTGCACACAAGGTAGCTAACAGGAAACCGCTACCATCTGTTCGGGACGATGGGACTGAAAATACAGCCTGAGAGAAATATGGGATGGCCGTGACCTCTGTTGACAAATGGAGACCTGGAGGCCCAGAGGGGTTAAGTCACTTGTCGGAGGTCCGATGGCCACTAAGGGACGCCACCAGGATTTGAACCCAGGATGCCTGCCCTCCCCCTCTGTGGATTTTCTCCCACAACAGGTAGGAGGCCGGCCATTAGTAATAACAAAAGCCAGGCGCTGTGGCTCATGCCTGTAATCCCAGCTCTTAAGGAGGCAGAGGCGGGAGGATAGCTTGAGCCCAGGAGTTCGAGACCTGCCTGGGCAATATAGCGAGACACTGTTCTCCACAAAAAGGAAAAAAACAAAAAGACCAAAAAAAAAAAAAAAAAAAAAGTAGTAACAACAAACAAGGACCTCCTAGTTACTGCTCAAACTCCTACTCACTCCTCAAAGCCCTAGTGTTACAACCCAGCCTCTGGAAGGATTCAACCCCCAAATGCCCCCCACCAACAGCTGAATGGACCCTCCCCGCTTCCTCGGATGTCGGCCGCATCCCTGACAATTCTTTCACTCCTATCTTGCCTTCCAGTCACTGTGGAAATGACTCTGGTTCTACTCATGCCCTACTCCAGAGCCGCCAACCCTCATCGGGACTCCCAATTCCTTGGCTAGACCGGGAGCCCCTTGAGGAAAGGGCCCAAGTCTGCTCTGTGTCCCGGTGCCCACCACTCCCAACACAGGGCTGGCTCCAGGACCAGTAAGGCTCAGAGTGGGGAAGGGAGTGGCTTCAGATCACACAGCAAGTCCCAGGCAAGCCTGTCTGGCTGTGGGGTCCTGAGACCGCACTTCGACGGAAGTACTCGGCGCTAAGCAGGTCCCACCACCCTCGACCCCAGGAAAGCCTCCTGCGGGGACCTCGCCAAGCGCTGGGCCACACCCGCCCCCGCGCCCGCCGTCTCACCTCCGTTATCGCCGACGTCCAGCCGCTCCCCGGAGGTCTCTGTCTCTGTGGGCTCATCCTCATCCTCCTCGTTGTCCTCCCTGGCCAGGGCAGGCTGGGGCGGGCTGGGTGTGGGGTCGGGTGGCTGTGGTGCCGGTGGGGGTGCGGGAGGCCGGGCGGCGGCGGCAGCCCTGTGCGCCAGCGCGATGTCGTGGAGGCAGCGGCGCGCCGCCTCTGCCAGCGCTCCTCGGCCGTGGGCAGCATAGGCACAGGGACCCGGGCGGGGCGGTGGCGGCGGGGCCGCGGTCAGCAGCACCAGCTCCGTGCCAGTCCGGGCCCGGAAGCGTTCAGCGGCCCCCACCACGGCCTCCCACAGCTCCTCGGGACGCCCCGATGCCATCCGCGCCCTGCGGCCAGAGTAGGACAGAGCGGGCTGAGGCTTGGCTGCCTCCACCACCCACCCAGGGTGTCCGCCTGTTCCCCGGATGGCACTCACCCCTCCACCCACCTGGTCCCAGGGTTGCTGCGTGTCCTCCCCAAACCTGCTACTCCCCCGATTCTCACCATCCAGCCCTCGCAGGCCCAGACCCCGGCGAGCCCTCAGCCCCAGCCCCAGCCCATTCCTCCTGCCACCCTACTCCCTGCCCTGGCCTCTGTTGGAGCGCCAGCCACACGTGAGCAGGGAGTACTGGAAAGGTGGGGAGTTGCAGCAGAGAGGATGCTGAGAGGCAAACGCGCACCTGATTCTGAAGACTGAGAACAAAAAAGCAGAACAGACAGGCACGGTGGCTCACGCCTGCAATCTCAGCACCTTGGGAGGCCACGGCAGGCGGATCACTGAGCCCAGGAGTTCGAGATCAGCCTGGGCAACATGTTGAGATCCCGTCTCTATTTAAAAAAAAAAAAAAAAATTATCTGCTTTGACTCTTTTGTCATGGAGTCTAGAAAATCTGGAATTCCACATGGGGCTTGCACTGACTGACAGGCGATGCCACCCTGTTCCATTGCCCCGGCGTCCCATCCAGAGTGTGGTGCCCAAGTCCCGGGGTGGGGGGCGGTCCTTCTGAACCTGGAGTTCCTGCTACTCCTTGCCAGTCCTCAGGACAGGGTCCCAGGCCCTCAGCCTGGCCCTGGAGGCCCCATGTGTTCTGGCCATCCCTGGCTCCCGGGCCATCCTGCCTCCATGGCCTTCAGAGAACATGGACCCCCCCAACCTGGATCACTCGTGCTCTGTTCCCCACCAACCTTCACTCACCCTAGGGTGGAAGAAACTTTCCCTCACCCCTAGATCCAGCCAGTCCCCTCCTTGGGGGGGGTCCCACCATGTCTGAGTGGCCACCTCCCCAGGACACTTCCTTCCAGAGGGAACTGACTGGTTCCAGGACTGAAGCCTCAGAGTTGGGGCTGAACAAAGGCAAGAAATGGTGCTGGGATTGCTCTGTGCGGGGAAATCCACGTGGCTTTTCCTACAGCACTGCTGTGGCAGGTCCTCTGTCGTCCCTGATCGCCCAGGGTGCATCAGATGACTTCAGGAGCCCATCCAATGCCCTGGGCTTCCTCCATGAGCACTCATGTCACCTGAGCTCGTGACAGCTGTACCCCGCTGCCTCCTGCATCAGACTGTGAATTCCCCCGAAGTAAGGGATTTGTGTTCACAGGACAGGTCGGTCCCAAGCAGACAAGGCAGGGTGCATCTCCTTACCCGGTGAGAAGATGGAGGGCGGGGTGGCTGGGTCCTTGCTCTGACTCTGTGACAAACCTGCTGTGTGACCTTGGACTTCTCACTCACTAGCCCTCTCTGTGCCTCATCTTCTTCCCCTTTAACTCTGGTTAAAGGGGAAGCTGAGCCAGAGCTGTTGGGCTGCGGAAGAGGCTCCTTGGGGAGGCAGTGAGCATACCGTCACTGCAGGGATTCAGGCAGAGCGGTGGTCCAGCACGCCAGGGTGAAGGGAGCAGGGAGTCTGGGGTTGGAAGGAAATCTGCGGGCCCTTTATGACTCACGATCGTGTTTGCTGAGCACCTATTCAGTGCTGGGATTCCACATCTGGCATCTCACCTCCTATCTGACTCACTCAGGGAGTTCAAAGCCCTGAGGGAAGGAAGAGGTTCACCCAGCACTTCCCAGAAGCCATGCCAGGACCAAAGATGGGCTCGACCTTCTCATCCCACCCTATTACCTACGCTACGAGGCAGGAGCTTCAGCTACAGCTCACCCCACTTTGCAGTCACAAACTCAGGCCCAGGGACAGTCAGCACCTTGAAGGGCCCCACAACTGGAAGAGGGAGGGCTGGGACCGGGACTCCGATGACCTAATCCAGAGCCTCTTCTAAATCCTGATCGCCATCCTACCTGCCTTTAGGAGGACAGATGTTGGCCGGGCACCGTGGCTTATACCTGTAGTCCCAGCACTTTGAGAGACTGAGGCTGGTGGATCATGAGGTCAGGAGTTCAAGACCAGCCTGGCCAATATGGTGAAACCTGGTGTCTACTAAAAATACAAAAATTAGCTGGATGTGGTGGTGCACACCTGTAGTCCCAGCTACTTGGGAGGCTGTGGCAGAAGCATCGCTTGAACCTGGAGAAGGAGGTTGCAGTGAGCCAAGATGGCACCACTGCACTCCAAGCCTGGGCGACAGAGCAAGACTCTGTCTCAAAAAAACCAAAAAACAAAAACAGATCTCCTAATCTAGATGGCAAAGTGAGGCTCAGAACTTAGGACACTGGCCAGAAAGCACACAGCTACACAGGGCACGAGTGGAGCTGAAACTGCTGACTGCCCAGCCCCCAAACCCCACTGAACTGGGGTACCCAATGTCTCAAACACACCCCTCACATCCTTCCCACCTGATGAAGGAGGAAACTGAGGCTCAAAGCAAGGAAGTGGCTAGTCCAAAGTCAACTGCCTGCCCATACTAGGCCTGGGCTCTCACTTCCACGGGCCCCCAGCCCCTAATCACATGCGGAGAAGAGGGGGAGCGGGGGTCCCGGAAGAGAATGTCCCGATGAAACTCCCTCCCTGTACTCAATCTTGGAGTAGCCACGAGACTGAAAAGAGTGAAATGGGGTGAGGGGGTTGTGAGGGTTCCAACTCAGGAGACATGAGCAAAAAGGACAGGGCGATTTCCACAGGCCTTTCTGCCGAGGTCCGGGGACACCCTGCAGTCTGTTCCCCGGCAGGAGAGCAGCCAAGACCTGGGGGTCCCTCCTTACCCTTCAGCTTCTAGAGGAGGTCCTGGCTCCTCCAAGGAGCTGAGAGTTGGAGGAAGAACCCGCCCCGATGGACGAGTCTCGTTTAAGATCAGGGAGAGATGAGAGGAAGGTGGGACGTGTTACCCGCAAGAGGGAGGAGGCACGATGTGGCTCTCCTCCTTGGATTCGGGGAGAGAGGAGTGCTAAGGGGAGGGGTGGAACCACTCCCCCGCCGAAATTTTAGTGCCCTCACCCCAAAATATGAGGAACCCTAGCGTGCACGCGGTAGCCGTGGGTGGGGTGAGTGCCTGGGGCCAGGGTCGGCTGCCCAGGGACCGCCCAACCTCGCCCGGGGTCCAGGGAAGATCCACTGGCCGAGGAAAAAAAACAGGAAATCCCGCCCAGGCGGAGGCCAGGACCGGAAGTCCCGCCTTTGGACGGGTGAGGGGGCGCCCCGAGGCCCCCCGAGCCGTCCCCCGACCCCGTGGACCTGGTCCACGGCCCAAGTAGGGATCCCAGGGGTTCTGGACATCGCAAGGTGAGGCTGTCTAGGATTTGCCTCAGGTCAGACAGGATGATTCCCACGGGAGACCCCCTTCCAGCGTTCAGCAAAGGGTCGCTGGCCGACGTCTCCCCTCTGATCTATGCAGGCCATACCCCTCCCGTGAGTCGCTCGCCCTCCCAGCGCCCCACTGCCTCTGGACGGCCAAATCCTCCCCACACCGCGGTTCACAACGCCGCCTCCACTCACGTGCCCGTAGCCAGCATGGCCGGCCCGGCGCCGTCGCCGCCCTCAAAAGACATGGCGGCGCCTTGCGTCACGTCCGTGTAGTTACCCCGCCTCCTCTTCGCATACTCCGCCTCCCTTATCCGGGCCGCCCGAGATCAAGATGGCGGCCACAGGGGCTTCGTCGGAACTAGTGAGCAATCGCGACAGCAGCGTGCCCATAAGAAAAATGGCGAAAGGCAGGCTTTAGTTTTCGTGCCTAGGTATTTCCATTTGCCCCTAACAATAATGGCAGCCCTCAATGCTCATTAATGAATACGGTAAACTAAGGCAAGTGACCTGACGTCCCTCACCCACAATAAACGTCTTCGACAAAAATGGAGGAAATCGGTGCCTGTTAACAACATGGCAGACGACTGGGCTTAATTAGCCCATAGTGTATATGGATTCTCTCTCCCTCCAACCTGCTCCCACATTCAGCAACAACGCTGGCAAAGATCCAACACAACAGCATTTCTTGCTTAGATTTGCCAGGCTTCAAGATGGCGGCTCAGCCTGCTTTCTCGCGACGGTGACTCAGAAATTCGTCTGGGGCCGCTTCGTTTCCGGGGACACTGACGGCTTCATCTCGTCATCCCGAATCCCTCAGTGCCTCTTGCGGTGTACAACTACAGCTCCTCTCACCTCCTCTTCTCTTATCCGTTCTGCTCTTCCAGCACCTCGCTGTCACGCAGAGATGGGACTGCCCCGCATTAACATGGCCTCATCCGGCCTGCTTAGGCCGTGCCCTCGAGCAAAATGGCACCTCCTTGGCTTCGATTCCAGCATACAATATGGAGAAGGAAATCAGCGTTTGGAGGCGTGCTTGCCCCAGCTGGTGCAGCTCTCAGACCCTCCCACTTGTTTACTTCGTGGCGAGAGGGAGAACACTACGCCTGCGCACACTCCGCGGGCAGCTCCACCTCCGGCGTCTGCGCCACGTGACTCCGATACGCCCTTGAGGTTCTAGTGGAATAACCCCCTTCTGAAAGATGGTTTCGCCCACTCCGGCTCTAGAACAGGTCGGGGCGCTACCACTGTCCGGCCCGGAGGGGAACTGTTTTCTCCGGAAGTGACAACACGCTGACTCGGAAAAGGGGGAGGCGGGGCAGTGGGGCCTTCGGCGGCGGCTATGGAAGGAGCCGGCTACAGGGTAAGCACTGAGGGCGCTTTCCCTCGCTTCAGTCTATGCGAAACGCTCCGTCTAGTGGTCAGCTCCGCCCTCAGCCCTTGCGCGTGCTCCTGAGAGTCCGGCACGGCCTTGGCAAACACCGATCTCTCATAAACGCGCCGTCACCCTCCTGTCCACCACCCCGTGGGAGACCCTCTCATGGCCCCGCCCCCGGGTCAGGCGACTCCTTGGGCCCCGCCCCCTGCGGAACGCACGCCCGCCTCCGAACGCTGGCTGGACCGCTCTCCCCGCCCTGGTCCCGGGGCAATGGCTCTCCCGGCCCCGCCCCCTGAGGGTGGCTCCTCCCGGGGCCCGTCCCTATTGGCTCCCCTGGGCCGGTCCCCTCGCGTGTCGCCCTCGCTTGGGCCCCAAATCTCGCTGGTTCCCCCCAACCCAGGTGGTATTTGAGAAGGGCGGAGTGTACCTGCACACCAGCGCTAAGAAGTATCAGGATCGAGACTCCCTCATCGCTGGTGTCATCCGTGTCGTGGAAAAGGTGCGCTGGGAGGGAGCAGGGCTCGTGCCCGCTCCGAGAGGGATGCAGACGCTCTGGGATGCAGGCGGCAACTGGAGGAGTTTGATCTGGCGCTCAGCAGAGGGACCTGAAGAAGTCTGGGGGTGGGAACTGGAATGAGGGGCGGGGCTTTGAAAGGCAGAGGGTAGAAACCTGGAAAGTTTGGAAATTTGCAGCGGAAAGTTTTGGGAATGTGGTTTAGGGAACGCCTCTAACCGCTCCTCCCTCCTTCCCCTAGGACAATGACGTCCTCCTGCACTGGGCTCCTGTAGAGGAGGCTGGAGATTCTACTCAAATCCTCTTCTCCAAGAAGGTAGGTCTCTGCGGGTCGCACAGGCTCCACTCCCTTTGCCCTTCTCCACTCGCTTTTTTTTTTTTTTTAAGACGGGATTTCACCATGTTAGCCTAGTCTTGAACTCCTGACCTCAGGTGATCCGCCCGCCTCGACCTCCCAAAGTGCTGGGATTACAAGCGTGAGCCACGGCGCCCAGCCCGCTTTTTTCTTTTAAGAGACAGGGTGTCCTATGTTGCCCAGGCTGGAGTGCAGTGGCTATACACAGGCACGATTGCACTACTGATCAGCACTGGAGTTTTGACCTTCTCTGTTTGGGACCGGGGCTGATACACCCCTCCTTAGGGAACCTGGTGGTCCCCCGCTCCTGGGAGGTCACCATATTGATGCCAAACTTAGTGCGGACACTCGATCGGCATAGTGCACTACAGCCCAGAACTCCAGGGCTCAAGTGATCCTCCCGCCTCAGCCTTCCGAGTAGCTGGGACTCAGGCTCTCGCCACTGCGCTGGCTCCTCTCGCTTTTTTCTAGGTCTGTACTGTTGGAAGTCATTTTGGGGACCTGAGTACAATCCCAGACCTACTTGTGGGGCATGTGTGACCCTAGTGGGCTCGGGTACTCTTTGCTTCTCGGTTTCTTCCTTTCTGTGAAATGGGCAGAGGATGCCTGTTACAGGAAAAAGAGCAGGGACCTTGAGGTGCACGATGCTGGGGACACCTGACCCCTCTCTCCATTTGCTTCTTGGGAAATCCCTGCCAGGGTGCAAGATGACAGCTCAACCTGTGGATTCGAGTTGCTTGAAGGGGAGTGGCATTTCCTCTGGTGCCAGAGGACAGGGCCTGACAGCCTACTCACCCACTTCATCACTGCTCTCATCTTCCCCTTCTTTAATCTCTGGGCCCTGACCTGGGAAACTCTGGGATCCAGAGATGAGTCAGATCCAGACCGACCTAAGCCCTCACCCTTACTCACTCTTTGAGAAACTGGTAGATGAGGTCGAAAACCCAAGGAGGTGTTGGAACATGGGTTTGAATCCAGTCAGTCTGATTCCAGATCGCTTCCTGGAAGAGCAGATGTTTGAGCTGGGACTCTAAGGATGTAAAAAGACAAGACGGTATTTCAGGGACAGCAGAAGAGCCTTCAAGGCACACGGAGAAGTTGGATGCCTCTGGAGAGGGTTTTATTTTTGTTTGTTTTAAAAGAGATGGAGTCTCGCTCCGTTGCCAGGCTGGAGTGCAGTGGCGCAATCTTGGCTCACTGCAACCTCCGCCTCCAGGGTTCAAGCGATTCTCCTCCCTCAGCTTCCCAAGTAGCTGGGACTACAGGCGCCTGCCACCACACCCAGCTAATTTTTGTGTTTTTAGTAGAGACAGGGTTTCTCCATGTTGGCCAGGATGGTCTCGATCTCTTGACCTCGTGATCTGCCCACCTCGGCCCCCCACAGTGCTGGAATTACAGGCATGAGCCACCGCACCCAGCCTGTAGAGGGTTTTTTTTTGTGGGGAATGAGACCTCCATTGGAGCTGTTGAGTTCCATCTAGGGTCAGGAAGTCAGCACCACAGAGCTAGTGACCAGACACCAGAAAACTGAGCTGGACACCCATGCTGCCCCAGGGCAGGAGGATGAAGATGAAGATGAGTCTTTACCTCCTTGCTCCACAGCCAAACACGGCCAAGGCACCTGGAAATTGCCTTAAGTCATTTCTGCTTTTCAGGTGTGCCTGCCTGTGGTTGGTAGAATTTGTCTTGTGTTTCGGATTCTAGCTGCAAGGAAACCTGGGAAATGTAGTTTTTTTCACTATCTCAAAGGTGGAAAGTGGTATCTTACCGTGGTTTTGTTTTGTATTGTCCTAATGAGTACCAGCAGTGTACGTTCAGCACTCTACAGTCTGACTGCAGAGCCACCTGCCATGTCGCATGGACCTCCCCCACGCACCAGGAGATGTGGGGTCAAGTCCTGGCTCTCTCTGGCTGCATTGGGTGACCCTGAGCAAATGCTGTACCTTCTTCGTGCCTCAGTTTCCCTCTTTGGTCACTGGGTCTATCTTCCAGGGTAGCCTCACGGCTCAGAACTGGAAACTGAATCCACAGCCCCTTACTGTCTGCTCCTTTCTTCCCCAAAGGACTCCAGTGGGGGTGACTCCTGCACTTCTGAGGAGGAACCCACCTTTGATCCTGGCTATGAACCCGACTGGGCCGTCATCAGCACTGTGCGGCCACAGCCCCGACACTCAGAGCCCACGAGAGGTAGGCTGAGGAGGTGGCCCTTGGGAGGCGTGTGGGCCAGGTATGACATATCTTGCTCTCAGTGGTCATGGCCCCATGGGCTCTGCTGCCCACAGTCAAGAAGGCCACCAGTCGGCCGGGCGCGGTGGCTCACGCCTGTAATCCCAGCACTTTGGGAGGCCGAGGCTGGTGGATCACGAGGTCAACAGATCGAGACCAACCTGGTCAACATGGTGAAACCCCATCTCTACTAGAAATACAAAAAATTAGCTGGGCATGGTGGCACATGCCTGTAATCCCAGCTACTCAGGAGGCTGAGGCAGGAGAATTGCCCGAACCCAGGAGGCGGAGGTCGCGCCATTGCGCTCCAGCCTGGGTAACAAGAGCGAAACTCTGTCTCAAAAAAAAAAAAAAAAAGGCCACCAGTCACCACCTTCCAGTCCCAGGAGCATGGACGTCAATGGGGGTACAGGACCGTCCCAGCCCAGGGCAGCATGACCAGTGTCTCTGATGTTGCAACCCTGCTCATCCTATTGGGCTCCCGGGTTGGCTGTGGGTGCCCCCAGCGAAGCGTGCCTCTGAGGTTCGAGGCTGTGGGGGCAACAGACGTAGCCACTCAGGGTGATTTGCACCATCCTGGGGTGACACAGGGTTCAGGGGACATCTAGAGAAAGCACATGGCCCCTCTGGGGAATGGAGACCCCGTCCGGGAAGAGGTGATGCCAGAGCTTGGTGCTGAGGGGCACTTGAGAGTTTTCTCTTCTGGCAGAGAGAGTAGCCCGTGCATGTCAGAGGCAGGCGGCCCCGGTGTGTTTAGGGAGCCGCTGGACTTTGTTGTGGCTCAGGTGTGGGATTTGGAGTGAAGAAGGGTTGGAGGTAAGATAGGCGGGGAAAGGGGACCGACTTGAGGGGCCTCAAGTGCCAGGTTGAGGAATAGGTCCTTACCCTGCAGGTCAGGGGGTGCCTAGGAAGGTTCTGGAACAGGCATATGTCCACTGGGCTCTCTTCGCATCTGAACTCTTTTGTGCTTCCGAGGAATGTGAGGCCAGAGGCCAGGGGGTGGCTGGTGGCGGGGCCTTCAGGAGATACCTGTGCCGAAGGGACATCCTGGGGTGAGGTTGATAAGGCCGGCTCTGGCCTCCCACACCTCCCCCGGCATGGCGCTGTCTCCCTAGGTGCAGAGCCCAGCTCCCCCCAGGGCTCCTGGGCCTTCTCGGTGAGTCTGGGGGAGCTCAAGTCCATCCGCCGCTCCAAGCCGGGCCTCAGCTGGGCCTACCTAGTTCTGGTGACCCAGGCCGGAGGCTCCCTACCTGCTCTGCACTTCCACCGCGGGGGCACCCGTGCCCTGCTCCGTGTCCTCAGCCGCTACCTGCTGTTGGCCAGGTGAGCTCTTTCCCAGGGCTGAGCCTTTAACTGCGCCCAGCCCTTCCTGGCTGCTGCGTGATCCCTTGCAGCTGTGAAAGAAACACAACTCGCACTGATTTATTGGAAAGCAAAGAGAGTGGACACGTAACTGAGAAATCAAAGGGGAGTGTTGATTTCAGACAGGACCCAGGAA